TATTCCATGCGAAACCATCAAAATATTTCCGTTTCTACTTATTGACAATGAAATGTTTGGAAGCTCAGCGATATGTTGAAGGTATGTGATTTATGCCAAATGTTTCAAATGATGAACTCAATGGAGATTTGATGTAGATTTTCGAACAAGCACCTTAGGCAAGGATTTGTTTGACATCAATGTTGAGGACTTACAGAACTATTTATTTTAAGCATTTATTTACCGCTACACATTTATTAGTTATTGGACTGTTCCAGGGCGCTATACTTAATCAAACACGCTGTCAGAGCGTAGCATATGGCGTCAACGATATCGGCATGTAACAAATGGTCTGCTATTGCATTCGCAAATGCTTATACCCACTTCATAGTACTTTCTGCCGTCAATCATGAACAACCAATTACCATTTTCACATTCAACACAAACAAAACACATCTTTTCGAGCTCCAATAAAACTTTCGACCGCGCAAATGGTGTTAGGAGGTTGAGCAACAAAGTAGTCGTCGTAAAGCACTAGGCTTACAGCATCTTCCGGCTATTATGGCTTCTGCAATACTTTTCCTGGCTGATGTCATTGCATTCCGATTGAAAACCTTGTATATACATTTGTGCAGGCTGTCAGTTTTGCGTACATATCTTTTTATTTAGCGATTCAGTGACTCCACAAGATTATTCGTGTTGTTGCCGGGAGTCAAAACACTTCCACTAAATGCTACCGCCCACATACTTTTACGAGACATCCAGAATCGATGAAGATACTGACCCACTAGTCTGTCTCTTTAGTTAATAACTCTGAAATATTGAATAAACCTACGCAATAAATACCTTTCAACCAATACCTTCCAACAGTTTCTGTGGTAACTAATCTACTGAGGTACGTTCTCAAGATTTTATCACTAGTCTAAAGGCAATTACATTAAAATCATGATAGGTGTACGTTTTTACGGAAAGCGCGACATGTGTGAAAGAAGCACAAAATAATATTTGCATTACCGTGTGTAATACGGGCAAGCACGCCTTCGGCTGGTGAGCAGTCCGTAACAATTACTTGCGTTTTTGACGTATTTCCTATGGATTCTCTGAATTTTTCCACGACCCACGTTACATCTGCCCGCTATTCTTTTCGCGCTCATGCAAACAGAACAGGACACCCTCGTCCAAAATTATCGGTTACTACCAACTGGAATAACGAATATCTACAAAGTGGGACGTAACAAAAAGCATAATCTTTTTAATATTGGTATTGTACGTAGAATCAATACACACAACTTCTGGATATTTATTATATAGTTGTATCTGCTCATAAGTACTGAAGCATATTCTGGTTGCATATCCATTTTCTGGATACTCTGTCACTTCACACTTTTGCAGCAACATATCGATTATTTACATTCGCGTATAACAACCTGAAATATACTTCTATACACTTACTTGTAGACAGTCGAGCTTTCATATTCTTTACATCATCAGCAGCGACCTGCTTACCACTTCGATCCTTGATACTTTTTACTAATTCATCTGTTGATCTTAACTGCAATATCACCGGCTTCAAATTTTCTTTTACTTCTGACAACAACCTTCTGGTCCATGGATCACAAACCATCCATGAAATACTGCAAGCAAGATTATCAAGCATCTTGTATGATTTTATGACATATCCTTCATCTTCCAATCTTACACGGAACCTTGATTGGCATTTTAGAAACTTAGATCTTAAACGTTACAAATTAGTTAAAGTTCTCACGGTTTCTGATTCACTATCCGACCTGACTTACGCTTATGACCAAAAGTGCAATGAGACATCACAGACAAATATTCAAACCTTTTACCCTTCAGCACTTTACCTTCTGTGTGAACATAATAAGTATGGATAGTCTGAGAAGGGATAAAATTATTCTTCCATACTTTTTGGAATTCCTTCAGCGCACTTTCAAATTCAATCCAGATACCGAAACGCCTGATCAGTATAATACATTGAAATTTCTCGCTTAGGTTGACTGGAATGTCTCTTGAAGATGAAGCACTACAAACAGCCCTCACTAATTATGAAAATAGTTATTATTCGAAGCAATGCTTTACTGACTGAAGGGAGTACTACAAATATTTAAGACTTACCGGTTTTTTTTTGACATTTCGTATCAACTTTTGCGTCTAACAGCGATCCACACAAACTTTGCGTATCTATAACCTCTAAGTCTATCTTATCTTTGCAACGCTGTTTTCTGTACCTTATCTAAAAACTAAACAAAGGCGTTGACCTCCACTTCAGCAATTGGGATCACAGATGTAGTTACGAAGCAACAATAGAACCAACGTGAACATTACAAAATAGAAAATGCTAAATTATTGCTTTCATCAGTTATTTCGTGATTTTTAATGCAGCAAAAGGCGACTTATATATGAGAAAACCTAATATTCATGCAACCCAACAAAACCATGGCAACTGAAATACGGAATGACGGAATGATCAAGGTCGTTGTAAGAAAACAGCGGGCGTCTTTGAAAGAGTCTGACTCGCCGTCAGCACGTGTGTTCGGTGTTTCGCGTAACATATTGCAGTGGATACCAAATTGAATAACCTGAGAACTGACCTTCGTTGCTAATATACTGTTTCATGCTCAACGTGTCGCTTTCATAATACGGAAATTTCGGAAGCAGCCATAGATCCCAACTTTTGAAAAATCGTTTATTACAGGTAGACATTTAAAAAGTCAGATTTAAAATTTCATATAACTGCAACCTAAAATCCAAAGTTTAGTGATTCGCATCATTTACTTGGTAGGCGTGAAAGTTTTGTGTGATTACATAAAAAATCAGAGTGATTTAAATCAGTCTTCAGTAACAAAGTTATATATATATAGTAGGTTGGTGAACCTGTAAAAATCCCACATTTGGGTCAACTTTGGGTCCTATTTTGCATCTTATCAAAATGCACCCAAACTGATTCGTTTTGTCCTCAATTTGAATGCTTGAGATGACGGATCATTCGGATTGCAACGCGAGGTTCACTTACCAAATCGGCTGCAGCGCATTTTGGCATTCAAGCAGGTTTCAGGGCGTGATAATAAAACCCATAATTCCCATGTACATTTCCTTTGTTCATCGTAGAGTTGATTACTAAATGGAATTTCGTAACTTGTCATATGACAAGTTACAAATCAGTCATTTTATTCGCTGGCCAAAACGTAGTTTAGTGTAGTCCGTTTAGTTGAAGCCCACCAATTTTCATAGTTGTAATATATCACTTGATGTGTGGATTGTAACAAGGCATATTTCGAAGCATTTACATCTGAAAGTCCACTTCCACACGTCCTAATCATTGTGGTATTATAGTTCACCTTTGTTAGTTGTGTCCATTGGTTATTCTATTATCCAGATCAACAGCTTGTGTGTAGTCGTGTACACTTATATAGGACGAATTAGATTTACATGCCAGCATCTACTCGCTGCTTTTCTCTTAAAATTTTATCTTGCAATGTTTCAGATGGTTATATAGATTTTCTTAAACATCAGTCCCTATGTTTCATAAGATTTCACCATAACTTGATTGTTAAGACAGTCAATTCTCTCAAATTGGTTAGTTCATCGCCAAAGAAGCACATTTCAGCTTTCAACGTGACTATGGATTTAAAAAATATAACTTTATTAAGTGACAGGGATTAGGACTGAGCAGTTTCGCTGTTCATAATGTTTACTACCGAAATAATATAATGTCAGCATTAAGTAACTGTAGATCGATAAGTTAGTGTCAAAGTGTTTTAAATGTTTGGCTTGTCTATTTGAACTGTGCTTCATCTACCTTAGTCTGAGCGTCTAATTAGTTTTATTGCATTAACAATCACAGGAATGCATCTTACATATGACTACCTAAAACTAGATTACACTACCTATAAGTGATTATATTTACACTTTCAAAGTAATGTTGACGTATAGTAACATTGTCATTGATAAGTTTTCTATTCAAGTATGAAGATCTGGGATAGAACACACCTTGAGTTTAATATAAAAGTAAAGGGCTTTATAGATTCAGACATATAACTACGACTGGGTTGTTATACTTAAATAATAACTATTACACTAACCAGTAAAACTACCGTAGTTTTCTGGAACTATATATACCGACGTTAACACTATCTTCCTGAACTAGCACTTTACGAAACACAATTTTGTCAAGTTAGGAACTAATGTCACACTGTTGAGTATACTGGTGTTTAGGTCTTAGTTTATTGAATAGATGGATTTTGGTATGCTTAGAAATCCAACAAACTGGATTGGAACTACGCTTTTTGTTAAATAAATACTTGAGGACTTCAAAAATTATGTTGGTTCAGGTTGTTGTATTTCTGGCCAAATTAAATAAGAATGAAAGCGATAGCTAAACCAAAAGGTCACAAACACGAAACAAAGCATACTTAGTGTCTATATGCTAAAGACTTCACTACTAAGTCAATCTTAGTCATATATGATAAATCTAGTTTCGAATCCATTTATTTGAAAACTTAGGACCCTCTGAGAGATTTACCACAGATTTATACTTCTGGATCAAAACAACATATTGTTTCTGTTACTTCGTCAATGTTGATCTTTAAATCTCCGTTTTGGATTTATCCAGTTTCCCTTCCCAGACCTAAACAGGCAACTATTACTAGAGTATTTACTGTCATCACTAATTTTAAAGCATCCTTAAAACGTATGCTAGAAAAATAATTGGTTTTTTTGCTAATTCTGCCTTCCAGTGAAGTTCGGTATGTTTTTTTGAACAGCCTCTTCTTTCTGCGATCTTACTCTTGAAAGATCTGCAAGTAGTTATCAGTAACTGATCAATATAGTGCATTCAATACCTACTTTTATTCCTTAAATCCGCATATTTAGTCAGGTTTGTACACTGGTTAATTAACATTCAAACCATGATTCTTAGTCTATCTGTTACAGGTGGCTAATTTCATAGTTTATTTTGCTTTCCATATATTTCCACTTTTAGTTGCACATAGTTTATTTCTATGGATGATGTATTCAATAGCGAAATATCTGATGTCCATTCAGAGTTAGAAGTTGGGTCACGAGACTGGGAACGTCGTGCTGAGGAGGTTTATAGTGCAGGTATACGAGAAGGATATTTCGCCAAAAGTGACGTTGTTTTACAAAACGAATTTAATATTGGTGTTGATCAAGGATTTGCATCGACATTTGAACTGGCAGTTTTAAAAGGGCGATTATCAGTAAGGTTATACTATTCAACAGGCGAAAAACATTCGAAAATTAAAAATCTCGTTAAGTCAATTGACGAAAAAGAAAAACAGCTCATATCACTGGGTTCTATAGAAAAAGATTTAACTTACCAACAGCTTGTACATGAGGCTGAAGTTATCTTAGCATCTTAAACAGTAAACTTACGGGAAATTTTTGTACATAGATTTTGTACTTTTCATATTACATCTTTTTGTTTATTCTTTACAATATTTGTTGATCCTTGGTTCCCATATTTAACGGGTCAGTATTCTGGAACAATTTAATTGTATGTCCACTATTTACTGTAAAGTTGTGCAGTTCGTTCTCACCAATTTACATACATAATCATAGAAACAACTTAAGACCTAGATCAAATTTTGTTCAAGTTGGCACACTTTAAGCCTCATAGTTCAGTACTTTCAGGTTTTCAATGGTAGCCTAACATCAATCGACTCGTGATCTCAGTCAAAAACCTATCTCCACAACCACATACTGATAAAACAAAACTTAATATGAATAACCATACTAGTACCAATGTAAAACTTAAGAAGATCCTTGAAAGTTTTAGAAGAAACTAGTTAGAGATAATTAAATATTTTATATTGAATGTTTAAATAACAAAGACGTAGTAAATTAATTACAGCACTTGACATTCATTCAGTTACCGTGTCATGTTTGCACTGTGTTCTTAAGTAATCCAATTTTTATTGATATTGCTGCCTCTTACGACTGAGTTGTGCGAGTATAACGTACACGAACGGTAATTGGTTTTTCAATTATATTAGAAATTCGCTAATATTTAAATGTTGAACCAAGGTTAAGTAAATGAGGGCATCTTAGTGGTTAAGGTGTTGAGGTTATAAACGCTAATTCGCTGGTACGAACACCGCTCCACTTACTTTGGTTTACGTAACTTCGTGGCATCATTATTCCTCACCTAGATTGTGGCTCATACCAAGTTACCTGGTAAGGGGATTAATTAATTTCCTGATTTTAAGTAACGTACTTAAATTATTCAATCTTAATTAGTAGTGAAGTAAGGGTTTAAACTGTCTAGCTCGTAATTGGATCGCGGCACCTAGATGTTATCCTCTAGATCTTAGGGATAGACCTTAACCTAGTTCATGGACATGGGTGATTACTAAATCGTTCCTAACTTCAAGATTCTAATATGTCTGGGGGAACGACAGGCTGATACAACGAAGCACTTCCTACATTAATATAACTTATAATTATTATTGCTACTCTTCTCAACAGTGAGTGAAGAAAAAATAAAGTTGGGGCTTTGTCTAAGAATATAAATAATAAGCTATTATGGAATAATAATGAAGTACAATTACATGTGACAGGTTTTAAGCTACATCAATCCTAGTCCCAAAAAATTAACCCACTTCTTTTACTTTTATCAGGCATGATAATCCACAGCCTCCAACCAGTCACTTCATTTTGGTCACGATATATGAGTTAGAGATCATTCTGAAGTTAACTATGACGGACGTTCTCGTAGTTCATGTGACCCTAATTTTCGTAACAGTAGCACGACATAAAGGAAGAAGGTTCCAGATTGGTTCACCAGGTTAGTGGTTCCAATGTCTGCTACAACCAAAGGATATCTTATCGCAAGTGTTTTTTGTTTACTAGGAGTTCCTATCGTCCAAATATATTGCAACTATAGTAAACTTACTACGTTAAATACTTCATAAACATCTACCACCTAAGAGTATTGAAGTTGGTAAATCGTTTAATAGACAGTTACAAGTTTCGGTGACAAATTGCGTAAACGTTATTTTTGCGCTTGCTAATAAATGATTTCATAAGTAAGGGGACTTTTTTATTCCTTGCTCAACTTGTACAATATAGGAGTATCTCATATACAACTATCAGTTTAAAATTTTGTAAATATCTAGGCAATAAGCTGATGCGTCATTTTTGTGGTGTAACCCTTCATAGAGCTCTTTTCTACCATCCGTTTCTGAACGTAGTTCGTACACTTTTCGCTTCAGGAAATAAGTCTTCAATATGAGGTTGATAATCAGATGAAATGCATGATCTACTGTATCGAGTGTTGACGCGTCAGACAGTGCTACTTATGATCGTTCGTTAAATTTTTATTAGTATTGATATTACCTTCCATCCTTTGTCTATCATCTTGTTGCTTCCCTCTTTTTGTGTTGACTTGAGGTATGGAAACTTGGACCGACGCACATTCTTCCTGGACCCTGTGCTCATGATGACTGACCCTAATTTCCTATCAGTTAAAGTTAGGCAGTTATGATAAACGAAAAGCATGGAATAATTGTGCGTTAGGTCAAGCTGCCATACCATATCAGGATGGAAAGAAAAAATTAATGATGATAGTGATAGATACTTAAACAATGTGAATATGGTTCAAGAAAGAATGGTAAGGTATGCATAAAAGAATCCTAGGATTCATGGCTCAAAAGAAACTGAGTCACATTACCCAACACCACCCATTAATTGCAAAAACCACTCTGACACCAACAAGGTGTGGTAAGAAACTATATGTAATATTTATTAACTACTTAGAAGTATAATGAAGACTGGATTATTGAGTAGGTGGAAACACTTACCTAGTATTTCAATAACTTGAATGTGCAAAAATCAATCTGGCCTAAATAAAAACTATATGATATGATGTATTTTATAATTATGATTAGGCGATCGGACATAGAATCTTCGGTAAACTGTTGTTGAAAGATCTAGTCGTATAATAATTGTCGAAAGTCATGCAGTTAGTATATTCAATTAAAAAGGATTATGAGGTAATTGCATGAGCGTCTAATATTTTACTCATATTCTCTGACATATACTTAGCACCTAAATTAATAGGATTCATGGTCATGAGAAAGCCGTCAAGTGGAACGCTGTACATAAGTAAGTCGAGTCGGATTGTCACGTCTCGCATTTGCAGAAATATACAGTTAACACAAATAACTTACTCCTGTTACCCCGCGTGGAGGAGCATAGGCTGTCCACCAGCATTCTCCATCGATAACAGAAATGAAATGACATCGAAATATAGATATAGAAATTTGGAATAGTTAAAGTAGTAAGATGTTCAAGATTTTGACAAAAATGAAGGTTGAATATATCTGTCACGGAGTGATTGATTTAGTGTAGCGTTAATTTACTTCCAAATCTTACTGTAATCTAGACGGTCTCAGTCAATTAGCTTATATTTCCTTAAATAGTTTAAGCTGACAGAAAATCACCTTGCAGATCGATGTCATCGGTATGGTCACTTTTAGCTGTTGTGTGAGAGTCCGACTAGGGTCATATTATAACAGTGAACGGCTGGATATGCGTACCTAATGATTCATAAACACTCTTCATACACATTCTGCTGTCAGGATATTACAGACCATAAAGAAAAATTAGGCATATACGGCTTTAATTAAAATTACTTTTTTCATTTTTGAGGCTATGGCCTAGTGGTTGGACGTTCAGTCACGAATTCATAGGCTCGAACTCCGCCTTATCTACCTTCGTCCGGATAACCATGTAGTATCATTAACCCTCACACCTAGAATGTGGCTCATACCGAGACACCTGGTAAATTAGTGGGTTTTTAATAAATTTTTTTTCAGTTCATAACTTTATTACCAAAATATTTACATCATACAAGAAGGAATATTTCTATTGGTTTATTTTTTGACAGTTTAAAGTATTTCCAATAGATAAGTTCTTGGAATCTAATACTAATAAAGCAGACATAGCATTGATTCTGGTCAAATTGCATGTGTCCTAAGATGCTATTATGGTTATTTTATGTTGTGAATTTTCTTTCTATGTCCACTGACTTAGTTTGATAACACTGTCTATGGTGCGTTCTAGAACGGCAAACATCCCGTGTGTTATTCTAATCCGCTTCTCCAGAATATCAATCAGAACAACATCAAGACCATGCAAGCGCCTCACAATATTCTGTGTCACTTAGTATCTAAAAATCATTTAACTCTGTGCATAAAATCAAAGATTAAGAAGGACTGTAAATAATAAATCTCAATTTAAACGAAATGAAAACATGGATAATAAAATGTTGTAACTGACGTACGATTAATGTGCTGCAATTTATGACAATTGAAAGATGCTGTTAACAATACAAAACTTATTCAATATGTTGTCGAACCAAGTCCCTTGTATATCATTGTATAAACCTTTAAGTTTTCATTTTACTGACTCCTTGTGTTCGCTTTTTTGGGATATATTTTCGCTTGCTTCAAATTCTTGTTTTGATTTTGAATATGTTGAATAAGGTAGTGTATGGAAGGAATACTAGTCAATAAAAAAAATAATCAAATAAAAACTGATAACGGGGGAATCATAAATTTACCATGATTTAGGTCTTTAATAAATACACGGTCAAAATATATGTGAATGATTTCTATAGTCGCACTTATTTGTTCCTTTTTAACAATTTAACTCATAAATAATATATATTTAAGAGTGATTCTTGATAAACCATTTATTTTAATCCATCATCGTTCTTAGGTTTATGTATTTCAACTCGGTGTGCCAATAAGTCAGCTACAACTCAGGACCAGGCACATATATGCATCGGTCTAAGTTGCCACACCTTACTCATTAGCACAACAAGATGAACACCGAATTCATAGAAGTAGTTAATTCAATGGTGGTAATATATAAAAGAATGATTACATATATGGACATAGTACAGGAAGAAAGAATTAGTTCGTAGAAAGAAAGATATAAAGCAATATGAATCTCATAGTTTAATGGAAGACAGAGTGTATACATCTACGCAATTGTGATCGATTCTGAGCCATGTCACACACAGTCTCCAACCATTGGTTACTATAGTCGCGCTGACCCCAACCAAATAGTCGGCATCTACCAACATGGCTCAGATTAGAAGTTAGTGACTTTGTGGACTGATACCACGTTTTGGTTTGGCCGCCCCTAACTTTCTTCCAACCATCCCCAACACTAATCAGCATTGTGCGTTGTGGTACTTGGTGTTCATGCATACGTAACACGTGGTCCAACCATCTCAGTCGATGAAGATTCACAACCTCATCAATTGACTTACCATCATTCCCTAGTACACTGTGTCTAACCTCACCATTACTTACCCTGTGATCTTAGCAGATGTCAGCAATATTTCTGAGAC